CAACTGTAAGTGAAGGTTGTTGACATGTAGATGTCAGAGACAGGGTGAGAAGGAAAGATGGAGAGAAAGTGTGGGTGTTGCTGTCAGGTCATCAGCAAGCTACTTCAAAGTCAGACGCTCCTCTGCTGGTGTGATCAGGAGATAACAGTGCAGAGAGAAGCTGGGTGCCAAGGGGGGGGGGCGGGGCAGACGCCGGCCCGGAAGATAGTGTTTCAGCACATTAGACAGATCGCCCGATATGTCGTTAAGCAGGCGAGCCGCAGTGATGCCTTATGGCAAAACTCGTGTCGGCCTGAAGGATAACTGCCCCTGCATTTCTGTAGGTCGTCTGCGGCCGCGGTCGCCATGCCAACGGGACAGGCATCGCGATTCAATTAGTGATCCTGAACAGGGTCCCAATAGATTCCTCTCTCAATGGAAGTGTAAAGGGGAGGAAAAAAAAATCAAACCGCAATTTATTAAAAATAAATAAAATTCTAACAAACTGCCATTTTATTTTTTAATTTTGTGAAGTGGAATGCAGTTATTTTTTTAATGCTGTCACTTCTTTCTTGTGAATTCACAGACTAGTTTGGCATGTGTTCTGAATACCTGGTTAATTATTTGCCCAAATAAAGGAGGTGTCAAAATGGAAAATATTGAAGGGATAGAGGTAGGTAGAAGAACAGAACAGGCGAGAACAGAACAAAGGAAGATAAACACTAAACATTGTGCTCTGGAGGCTGAGCTTGAGGGACAGGCGGAACAGGAGGGATGCCAACTCATGGGGCGTGGGGGGTTCGGGGGCATGGCATACCTCCAAGCGGCCTGTGTCAGGCTGGAAGCCGCGGGCTGGGTCTTCGGTGGTCACTCGGCACTGGATGGCACAGCCATTGATGCGGATCTTGTCCTGCTTGAGGCCCAACTCCGGCAAGCTCTGGCCCTCGCACACCCGCAGCTGGGCGTGTACCAGATCCACACTGTGACATGGGGAGGGAAAGCAGTGGGTGGGCGTGCATCACCATGCGTACGCCATTCACAGCCAGCTCACCGTGGGATGGCACATTCTGGCAGCAAACACACTGACAAGGCGCCAAGGCTTGGAGCGAGGGTCACTGATGCAGAAATACCCTGAGCAAAGGGGAGAGGCCATTAACACTAGGCAAAGTATGTACAGTGGGGTTGAATGTTGACAGTGAGGGGCGGGGCCTGTGAGGGGTGGGGACTGAACGGGGCGGGGCCACCTTGGCGGAAATGGAAGACTCGCAAGTGCTTTCATGCATATCTCAGTAAGAAAGCTTGGCTAACACCCAAAAAGGTGCATGCGGTGACATGTCCGGGGGGGGGGATGCATGCATAAACAATCCCAACTGCGAGCAGAGCATGAATCATAGAGGGCTGAGAGATGCCGCCTCCCTCCCTCCGTGGCATCAGCACCCTCCTCCCCTGCCACCGTAATAAAAGAGCCGCCGTGTTTCTGGAGCGCGGTGCTCGCACCGGCTTGCCAAAGCCATTTAGCTGGAAAGTCCCCCTTAATGATCAGCTACGCCTTTCATGACAAGCAAAAACGCCGACGTCTCGCTCTGCTCCGCTAGCATTCGCCAGCATACAATGATTCTCTTCATTAGATGCTCCCGGGGGGGGGGGGGGGATCAAAATGGCACAGAGCCCGGAGTTATTTACCGACTGAATAGGGGAACCTGAATGTGTGCGTCAGACGATGAGTGAGAATGCTGCAAACAGAAAGTTCCGGAAGCACCATTAGATTCCCGCCGTTAGACAAAGACAAATATTTTATGTCAAACCACTATAAGTACTGTTTAAACATTGGCGGTAGTGTGTATGCATGTATTTGATATATGCGCGTGAGTTTCCAGTGCAACCGTCCGGAAATATCTCGCAGGCAGCCCAAAATCAAATTATTCCTTATCTGAGACGCGAAGCCCCTCGAACAAATCAGGAAGCTAGAGCAATGTGCATTTGTGCATGGCAGGGAGCCTGGGGGCCTTGGGAGGGGGCTATGAGGTCCGTCTGTGGGGCGGGGGGAGGGGTTGAGTTATGTTTGCATTAATAATTGATAGGCCGAGGCGTCTGTTTGTAGGTGTCTAGGAACCACAGAGTCGCACGCAAGCGGCCGCCAACACAGCGAGGGTGACACTGCACACAACCTCGTTAAGTAATCTGCATACTTGATTACACGACCTCAGCAGGAGCATCTTCAGAGTCACGCATGAATCAAGGCGATGCCTCATTCACACAGAACACCCCCCCCCACAAACATAACTGTACATCACCTTGCCGCCCCCCCCCCACAGTCCCTCGACTTCAGTTTTCTATTTTCGAATGCTGGATCCTTAATTAATTTTTGCTTCAGTTGTTTACAGCAGGAGAGACTGAGGGAAGGGAAATGGAGTGAGGGAGACAACGTCCAGCAGGCGAGAGCGGGGTGCAGAGAAACAGACAAGCAAGAAAGACAGGTAGGCGTGACTGTACAACAATGCAGGAAAACCTTATGATGAGAGGATAAAAGGAGGGATTTAAAAAAGAGCCATGAAAGTGAACAAAATCTGTATGAAAAAAATTCATTATAAGTCATTCATTATACTGTATGAAACAACCTGTAATATCACTTAATACACATTACAGCAGGCCTGGGCAATTAGTTTATGTGGAAGACCAAATCTGAACTACACTCTGTCAACAGGGGCCATTTTTATTCATTATTTTCATGTCCTATAAAAAGTACAATAATACACTTGTTAGATTTTACTATAAAAACACTACACTACACTATACACACACACACACACACACACACACACACACACACACACACACACACACACACACACACACACACACACACACACTTATTAATCCAACGAGACTACTGGGCAAAAGTCTGTTAGTCTTCATAAACAGAAAACTTTCATGTTTTTTAACGATCACGTAAGCCAGTAAAGATAGCCAGCTTCTGCCCTGCATTCGAGTAAATAACTGTCTAAATTAAACAGTTAGCACCAATGTGCAAAACCATCCATAACAGAAGCACAGCTGGCAATTTCAAACACATGGCAGTTCAGATTGAGGCCAGGGGACCTTAAGGAAGGGGTGAAGAATGTCCTCTCGTATTTCACCCCCAAATAAGATCAGCTTAGTGAAATCCTCCACTCCGGCACATTAGACGGCCAATCCTACCAGGCTGATGCAGGTTTACACCAGTCTCTCAAAGGTCTGGCTGGAAAAGGGGTCAGTGCCACTAAGCTCTCGAGGTTTAATCAGGTATTGAACATCACAGCCTCCACAAGACATCCAAGCTTCTTGCCCTTAACTTTGACTCAAACATTTTTAGATTTTTTTTTGTCCAGTTATTAACTCATTTTCAAAGCAGATGTTCCAACTAAGAACGTCATTCGTAGGAGTTTTACTTGCACAATAAAAAGTTCTAAGGACAGAAGAAACAATGATTGGTTCAGAGAGATAACCAATCAGATTGTAGACGAGGTGAGTCCAAGTAACTAGAAGAGGCAGGACCAAGACATCTGATTGGTTGGAACCATCTCCTCTATAATCTGATTGGTTGGAACCATCTCCTCTATAATCTGATTGGTTG